TGTTTTTGTTTTCTTGGTGTATTGAATTTCGTATGTTTGGATGTCTGTTGGTTTCATTGCGTTGTGTATTTTGTTTTTTCTGTATTTCGTTTCGTATGTTTGGATGTCTGTTGGTTTTACTGCCTTGTGTATTTTTTTTGTGTGTTTATTTCGTTTAGCGTTGTTGTTGTTCATTATGTTTTGCTATTGCTATAATAATGATATAGTCGGGAAAATGAATTTTTAAATACACTATGGTGAAGGGTATAAAAGATTCGGCACAGCCGAATATAACACTCTTACTTGTTTTTCTTTGTTTCTCTTTATTTCAAACAATCGAAACAATCTTTCGAACAATCATTTAAAAACTTATTCAAATCATTCACATTAGAAGCGGCTACTAGTCCATCGTCAACATAGAGTGTGAGTATAATTTTGTTGTTATTCTCATTCCGCATATACAAGATCTGATTCGCAAGACTAGTTTCAAAAGATAATTTCCGAATCTTCGGTTCCAACATCTAGGAGCTTGCTTAAGTCCGTTTTAATCTGCAAACTTCTCCGCTTTCATCTTCAAAGCCTTCTGGTTTGAAAAATTATTTCATCTAGTTCTCCATATAAGAATGTTGTTGAGACATCGAATTGAGCAAGATGCCTATTTTGACTTAAGACTGCTCTAATCGTAGACATTTTTGCAACAGGACTAAATGTCTCATTATAGTCGATGCCATCTATTTGATTAAATCCTTTAATTAGCAATCTTGCTTTAAACTTATAAATACTTCCATCTGAATTCATCTTTACTTTGTATACCCACTTTGAGGGAATTTCCTTTGCATCTTTCGGTATATTCTCCATTACGGCATCCTTGTATGCAAGTGGTATTTTTATTCCATTCATCAAATCTTCAGAAATCATAACGTAATTATTATATTTTGAATTGGAAATTAATGTTCTATCTCTTAAACGTTTCACCATCGGTTCACATTCTTCATCATATTCTAGTGGTCTCTTTTTAGAATTACTTGGTTGTATTTCACTATCTTCAATTTCGTCTGTCTTCTTGAATTTCATCTAAGGAATCATATAGCGATTGAGTATCTTCTGATATATCATCATTGTCTTAATTTGGTCTTTCATCTAGAGACTCGTCATTTTCGTTATCATCTTGTATTTGTTCAAAACGTATCATTGGATGTCGATATTGTCTAATTTCATGATCTCGGTTTTAAATATAAATAGACGTTTTAACTAACTCGGCCCAAATTGCTTCAGGAAATTCGACTTCTTTGTTGGAATATTTAAATATTTAAAATATTTATTAGAATTAAATCCGGTAATAAGTTTTTATTTATAGCTATAGTAGGCCATTATTTAATTTACTCCATAACGTCATCAGTTTTTCAATGTGTGTTGAAAAATAAAAATTGTTGTTCCAGGTAAATTGTAAAAAATATACACATACTTTAAAAACTTGATCTCTTGATGTCGCCTCAAATTGTGCCTTCAATACATCCCATGTGTCAGCAGCAGATTCTTGATCCATAATATTTTCATAGATTTCATCGCTTACTGCGCTTGATAGATTTTGCATAGCTATTTGCTTTTCTATTCAATTCACTATTTAATAAACATATATGTACCCAGTAGGATTTTGAGTTAACTTAAAACTAACTTATGGTTAACCACAAATGAGTCAGAGGTGACTCAAAAGCTAACCATTTTGCTTATAAAATACTATTCAGTTTTTCAATGTGATGTCATAGGAACGAGTCAGTACTCACTCACTATACATCAGTTTCAGTTAACCAGAAGTTACCTCAAGATGAGTTAGCTTCTAGTGCATAAATAAAAGATCAGCTGTGAGTTACCTGTGCAATTTTCTTATATTTTTATACTATTTTTAACAAATTGTTAGTGATTATAAATGCGTTCAATATGCAGCAACATTTCCTTCCTATATACACCATTATCTGTGTCTTATATTCCTGAAAATGTTAATTTAATAATAATAAATTCATTTTTCATTGTTGAAACAAATTTTCATTTTCATAATTTCATTTTTTCAATACAAATTGTTTGACAAATTTGATACGAGTTTCTATTTTATTTTTTATTTAAAATTTTATTGAAATGTTCATTTCCTCGATCATTTTTGAGTTACTTTGAAGCTAGTCATAAGAAGTTATCAAAAAGTTAACTTGATTTTTAGTTAACTCACAAAATCCTACAGGGTATGTACTCTTCTGTTTTCAAAACTTGCAGCTTCTCTCAATGGTAGGAGCTTCAATAAAACTCGATCTATCACATCTATGGCTCCTTCATGATAATCAATTATGTCCCTTATCTTACGTTTCTACAATGGTCTGCTTTTTTTGTAGAGGCTTCAAATGTTTAGAAAAATCAATCTTGATGTTTTATCACACACACAAAATTTTTTTGAAAAAAAAAAAATTCTTTTTTATTTTCTATTTAATTTATTTTTCATAAGCTGCCTGGGCTCATAACCTTTTGTAGTTAAAGTTTTTATTCAAGTGAAGAAATATTAGACAAACATACAATATTATTAAATTCTACTAGATTGAATACAGAAGTACAATATATAAAAACAATGTTAAAAAACATAACACAAATAACTTCAACAATTTGGTCGATATCTCTCACATATAAGCGGTACCTGTGTTTTGAAGATTTCGGAGAAAGCAAGATTTTTGTAAAATTTTTAAAAAACAGGCTGTTATGCATTTTATATACAGTGAATCAATTAAGTAATTTGCCTATGTAAAATTTTATAAATTTTAAGAAAAAACTTTATCTGAACAATTATTTTTAGCAAAATAGAGCAATTTGTTTGTTGTATTTTTTAAAGAATATCTTATATTTTAATTTTCTACCATAAAAAGTAAAATCGTGATATTAATTAACGAGATTTTTGATAAAATGTGAACGTATTGTTAATTTTTAAGGTCAATAAAGTATTTTGCTTTTTTAGGTTTTTTGTTCATATTTTTAATATTGCTGCATTATTTTATAAAATTTAATAATTTTATTACTCCTATGTATTAGAATAACATTTTTTAGATATTTTAGTAGTGTAACGACTAAGTTTAGACATTTCTTAACCGATTTATTATCCTATATACCTATAAGAATTTTTCAATACTTGACTTAACAAGAAATCTATCGTTTCTTTGAAAAAAATTTTAGTGGGGTATAAATCTATAGATTATAACAAAAATAATCTGGGTTTTTGGTCATTTTGTATTGATAAACAAAAACTACATTACGGAAACCCCCATCAATTTGGGGAGTACTGTGTGAATTTCATTTAGAATTGTATAATATTGATTCTTATTCAATAAAGCTAACACTAAGTACCATCCTAGCCACTCTAAGTATGGGGATATCACCGTATACCACTATAGAACTATTACATGCTAGAATCTTGATATTCTACCTCATATTTTGAATGCATTATTTTATGAATAAAATACAGTAGGCGTAGTTGGATTTGGATAGTTATTCTTGATTTGGGTTCTAACTATATATAAGTGTATGTATGTATTAGCTGAAATATATTGCTTTTGTGGATCTTAGGTGATGAGAACCGCCTCTATTTGTAAATATCTAAATTAAGTATTTTTCCCGTACCACACGATAGTTCACTTTATATTGTTTCCAAGCAACCTAAGGTCTGTTTAGAGGTCTAAATTTAAACATAGTGTTCTTTTAAGTTCGTATATGGACTTTGGAGAAGATAAATGAGGACTTCAATAGTTTTTGCTTGGATACAAGTCGCTCTCCTTTGGCAGTTAACGATTCAGTGCGTTTTTTTTAATAATTCTTTGTGTTATTTCATCAATTTCTATATTTTATATTTTTTATAATTGATTAAACATCTCATAATTGAATTTCATTGATTTATACTTGTTCTAAAAATCTAAACTTATTTTTTATATTGGAATTGCCTCATTATTTTCCTTTAGGATATGATTTTTGAAAATTACAATTGAAAAATACTTAACACGTGTCCTTTTAACAATAAAATCCAAAAAGCAATTAAAAAATAATTTGAAAAACCCAACGAAATTACCTGGAAATTTCAATATGCAAAATACTTTATTGAAGTGCAAATTCTGATGAAAAATAATAAAATGCAACAACAAATGAACCAAATTTTTTTTAAAATATTTTTTTCTTGGTTTTCCCATTCTACAAAATCTCTATTTTTAATTGGAAAACATAAATTTACTTTTTACTTGTTTTTTTGAATTTTATTTATGAACAAAAAAAATTCTCTTAAAAAAGGTAGGCAAAAAACTTAGTTGATTCACTGTACATACATATGAGTATTTCCACCGAAAAGTTTACTTTTGTCACATCACGTCACGCACTATTAACTGTTTATATCTAGGGAAGCAATATACATACATATGTTTAAATTGTCTATATTTTTATGTAGAGCTCTAATAGCTCTATACATAGGATAAAGAGGCGACAAATTAAAAAGAATGGTCCTAAGATATTGTGAATTAAGGTGCGTGACGTGATGTGACAAAAAATATACTTTTCGGTGGAAATACCCATATATATGTAGGTAAAACCGTTTCAGAATATAAAATTCAAGATAATAGGAACATACCTATGTACATCTGAAGTTTTAGTAAAATCAAATAATGTTAACCCATAAACTGTGAAGGTCAAACTCAAGCTATGCAACATTGGGAAACTTTTTTGAAACCATAGTGAAATATTATTTTGTTTTCAACCGATTTAAATGAAGCTTAGGAAAAATATGTAATATATGTATATTTATGATGACATCGATAAAATCAAAATTAACCATTGTACATATGTATGTATGTATGTATGTATGTATGTATGTATGTATGTATGTATGTATGTATGTATGTATGTATGTATGTATGTATGTATGTATGTATGTATGTATGTATGTATGTATGTATGTATGTATGTATGTATGTATGTATGTAAAATAATCGAAATACCTTTATTTTCAGATGAATATATACTGTCCCTCATTATAAAACGACAAATACCAAGTTTATCCAGACGACAACTTTACCGATGTGATGAAGCGTTTTGTAATGAAATCAACGCATACAATCATATTGTTCCGCTATTGGAGCAATATATGACTGACACAATATTTCCGAAATGTTATTATGCTGGACACGATGATATGGGCGAAATAATTGTTTTGGAAGATCTAAAAGAAATTGGTTATCGCATGCAGAATCGTTTAACCGGTTTAGAACTCAACTGTTGCGAATTGGTAATGGAGGTCAGTATAGATACTTCCATATTTCCGAAGTTTAAATCTAAATTAATTTTGTTTACTATTTTTAGCAACTGGCAAAGCTCCATGCTGCCTCTATAGCAGCAAAGCAATTAGACAATAAAATGTTTCGAGACAAATGCAAACAAATTAATGAAATAGTCTATTGCCAGGAGGCGGAAGAATTTTACAAAAATATACTGGACACTTCAATACAGGAATCTCTAAACAGTTTACGAGCATCAAATGTTGATGATTGTCTAACCGAACCGATACGTTTGATAGAAAAACTTCAGTACAAATTATTTGGCCAAATACAAAATTGTATAACAAATTCAAGTGATCATATGAATGTAATGTGTCATGGCGATTTGTGGGTCAATAACATTATGTTTACTACGTCTTTTACAAATATAACAACAGCAGATACTAAATCCCAAGAATCAAATCATCTCTACTGCTCGCCATGTAGTGTCAAATTCTTTGATTTACAAGCGATGCGTTATACTTCACCCGTTTTTGATATACTTCACTTTATTTACACAAGTACAAAACGAGATCTTCGAGAATTATACACGAAGCATTTGCTAGAAATTTATTATTTGGCATTATCGGCAAATCTGGAAAAGCAATTTGTACATTCGATCGCGGAATTAGATGCAATACGCTCAACATTTTCCCTGCGCAATATTACCGATGAGTATTATAAACATGTGCTCTATGGTTTGGCGATTTCTATGTGGATTCTGCCTGCGGTAACATTTGATCCTAATAATATCCCAAATTTGGATATGATAAGCGAAATGAATAAGAGTGCAAAAGAAATCAAGTGTACACAAAAGTTGACACCGGAATACCATTCTCGTCTAAAGGACTTGGCATTGGAATTCTATCAAAATGGCTATTTAAATTTTTTGCTCAATAATGATTGATTTGTATTTTATTATTAATAATCTATCGGTTAAACGATAACAGGAGATTGAGATTTTCGGCCTTAATGTATTATTTTTGAATTAAATTAAAAATAAAAATAATAAAAATGTTTATTTTAATAAAAGTTATATTTAAGTTTTTGCACATGGCATTTCCCGCTAATTAACGTTTAAACTAAGCGTAAATAACAAGTAATCGAATTCTTATTGAACGTTGCATTTGTTAAATCGGATGAACATTTTTCAACAATGAACACTGTTAATTTTTCTGAAAAATGTGCGATATAACCAAATCTAGAGAGCAACAATTTTTACCACTATTTTTGGTTAAAGAATTTTTTGATTATCTTTTAATAAAAATTTAAACTTTACTTAGTATTCACTATCGAAAGAATTTCATATATTCCCAAAATTTTAAAACATGTGCGCTGATTAAATGGAAAAAGTAGTTACAAAATCTTTTCTAAAATGAGGCAATAATTTGAATTTTCCCCCTGCAAACGTAATTTCAAACTTCCATTTCTAATTGAGGCAATAAGACAACACAATTCCAGTATTATAAATTGATTTAAATAAAAACAGGTTTTCCCTATTGCACACCTACTACTTTAATGCGTCCATAGGATCACACAAAGAAATCAATGTTAAAAAAAAATTAAAAACAATTTGTTGAATTCGTTTAAAGCAACCGAGTGTTTGTGTATTAGAAATATGGAAATACATAGTACAAGAAATTGATAAATTTGATTAAGTTTAGTAAAAAATGTATAAAATACTACTAACTGATAAAATAGCTTAATACAACAAAATCAATGTGTAAAATACCAATTCTTACATGGTTTTTCTCATTTAGAATATTATGTTGTAAAATTTATTTTGACCAAGTACGTTTGTATGTCAATTTCTAGCAGTATTCAGAATGAGAAAATTGTGTTTTAATATATTTTATTTTGAATACGGCGAATAATTTTTTGGAATAATAATGGTTTTAGTATTAACATATTATAAAATAGTAATAAAAACATTATGAAATTACAGCTTTTACTTGTTACCACCCCAGCCAAGGAATCCTTTAACGAATCCAGATATACCTTTCTTTCCAGGCGATTGTAGTTTATCTTCCAATGATGGAAACTCGACATAATTAAGTGCTAAATCAAAGAATAGTGGTTTACAGGGAATTGCCTCCATTTCAGGTGTCATCTTGAATACGTTGGGGTTCTTTGTGTGCAGTGATTGATCCTCTTTGTATTGGGATAGACGTTCAAACAGAGGTTTAGATGATTTTTGTGATTTTGAGGTAAAAATGGGATCATCCGAATTGTCATCTTCGAGAACACTGTAGGCATGAGCTGAAAACTTACAGCTGTCTATAATTGAAATTAGTTTCTTTAGCTCGTTGGCCATATTGAATTCAGCGCTTGGTTTGTTCTTTAGGGCTTCATTTGCATAATTTGAGGAACGTTCATACAGAGCAACCGCCTCTTTCCATTTCTTCATGTCGATAAGAGTTAGTGCAATGTAGTAGCAGCGGAATGCCTTAAATGTCAGAGACAAGTTTTCTACCTCGGCTTGGTAAACTGAATCGTCTTCCATACCATTGATTTGCTGCATTTCAGTTACATTCTGCAATATGATCTCATACAGGCGAGTTAAATCTTGAGGACGCACACGTTTTCCCTCGACAGCATTGACTTCAGTTTTTTGATTTGGATCATCAAAGTTTGCCTTAGCTTGATCGACCAAACACAAATTACGCTGTAAAGTACGACTGTGGCGAATGTACGACAGATATGCCAAAAGATACTGAACTCCTGACACAGTTTGGCCTGTAGTTAAAGAACGCAATTTGGGATCCTGCTTTATTTCCTCCTTCACAGCCTGTATGGCATCTTTGCAGTCCATTAGAGTACGTTCGATTAATTCTATCTTCGACTCCACTTTTGAAGTCTTCTCAAGACCCTTGTCCAATTCTTGAGCACTCAGTAAAAATAGACGAACCTTTTCCGGGCGAACAGTAACCTTACGTCCACGCCATTCAATAGTTTGAAGACCTTCACTGCTTTCTGTTTTTGTCTTATTGACCAAATCATCAAGATTTTCAAGCAAACCTTGTGCACGGAACTCCAATAAATCATCCATATTACCGCCAGCGGCACGACCACCACTTATGCTATAAGCACAGTAGCGCAAATTAGGTGTAAATTCGTTCACCTTGGCACGGTACAATTCCTGTTCATCTTCAGGCAAGGCCTTTGTTAAATTTTCATAGACAACTTGAGCACGTTTCAAATGTTCTCCAGCAGTTTTCCACAGTTGCAGTTCGAAGTGCAAAGTTCCATGCATCCATGATACATAAGCTTCACATTCCAATTTTGTACGAGCATCAAAAGCTTCAGACTAAAATGAAAAATTAGCTTGATATTATTTTAATAAAAATCCTAAAGTATGTTTTGTACTTTAAAGGAACAAAGGAGTTCAAAATTGGTGGAATAATCCATTTTTAATCCGTAGATTAAGCTTTAAAGTTTGTTTATTAGCTTTAGCCCTTAACTCAATGTGAATTACTTAGATTTTACTTACATTGCACAATTCCTGCAATTGCAGAGCATAAGAACATGCCTTTCTTAATTTGCTGACTAAATGAAACCTTTTACGAGGTTCGGTATTTGATTCCTGCTTCAGCTGCATCGCATAAGCCCAAGCCCGTTCAGCACTTATCAATGGAATATGAATAAAACGTTCATCTGCTCGCTTTCCTGTCAATTGTCCCAAGGTAACGTCACGTCGTTTAAAGTGTCTCTTATCGCCCTGGGGAAACTTCAGTGCTTTACGCAAACGACGAATTCTTCTTGTACAGTAACCTCGGTAACGTTGAAAGTCGCCGTGACGCAAGCCATGTTGTTGCTGGGCCTCCTTAATCATATGCAAAACTGAAATGTAACTCAATGTTGTTAAGGAAAACTGTTTTTATTTAAAGGAAAACTGAAAGTGAAAGTAAACGAAAATTATTGTAGGTTATATGGGCACTGAACATCCAAATAGTTTCGAAATATTGAAAAGGATACTCTCAACTGTAAAAACTTTTACAGGTTCGCTTTGGACAGGAACTTGCTCTGCCTCACTTTTGTCAACATTTTCCGGGGGATTGCTTTCCTCAACCATTATGTTTATTAAAATTTTCCTTTAGTTGGCAAAAAAAATATGTCCAGCCTCAAATCACAATCAATGACAGAAATGCACTTCTGTGAACTGTCAAAACGTCATCAATGTTAAACAAATAACAACTCTGTTAATTATCATGGTTGCAATAAATAGTAGTATTTGATATATAAGCACATTATAAAAAAAATCCGTTAAATTAAATAAAAAATATATATATACTTTTAAAATAACAAATACAATAATCCATGATTTTGAACTTTAGAATTAAAATTAATTTTATTTCTTCATCCTTATTTATCTCTTTAGTTTAAAAAATATTTTTTTTGTTTATAAAAAGATGATTTAATCCCAACAAACTTTTACACATAAATACATACATATATGTAAACATTACATTTAATTAATAACTAAATATTATTTTAGATTATATGCGCAAATTATATATGCAAAATACATACATATTTCGTAATGTAAATAAGTAAAGTTTTCTTTTGCCTTAAAAACATGCATGCATCCATTTAATTTTAAAATTAAAAATACAATAGTTTTGTATCTAATTGAATTTGGTTGTTAATTAATGAGACTTTTAAAATTCAAAATTTAAAGTCTTAAAAGAGGACTTTGCCATACATCAAATTGGCACTCTTAAACTGAGTCATGTGTTGGCTGCGCCAACAATTTCGTTAAATTTTTATAAATTATTAAAACATATTTGTTAAATGTATTTAACGCAACATTTGATTGGAAAAATGTTTTAGAAATAAAAATAAATATTCTTTAATAAATAATGGAAACAACATTTAAAAAATATTAAAACGGCAAGATTAACACGAAAATATTCATGTAAACGTTCATTATTTTACGAAGGGAATTTAAAACAGAACTTCGAAAAAACCCTGCACCAAAACCCAAGGTTTATTGAATAAGATTACCTCGTCTGCATAGCTGATTATCATTAGTTTCAGCCCAATTTGTCAAAATTTCAGTTTGTTTATATTAAATAAAAATTTCAGAATTGTATTTTCTTTTAAATTAAGAAAATTCTTACTTTAATAGCACTATTTACATTTTTCATAACTAGATATGTATATTTGTTGTGCTTCTCTCCCACCAAAATCATAAAATCTTTCGATCTGGCACACGTTTTAAATTAATTATGGCTATATTCTGTCCATAGAACAAAGCTCTAAAAGAATTCATTCCCTAATTCTTTTTTGAAATTGAGTTATATTTTAAAGAATTAACAATTCTTCAAACGCATTCCCTTTGATTTAATTCCTAGAATTAATTCTTAAAGCTTTCGATGCAGTTGAATTAATTCTTTAATGAATTAATTCCTATAGAATGTTAAATTCCTTCTGAATGAATTAATTTTGTTTGCATTCAATCTGTTACAAATTGAATTAAAATAAATTTCAACATTTCCTATTGATTTTTAAATTCCCTCTGAATGATATACATTTTGTTTGAATTTAATCTATTACAAATTGAATTTAAAAATTTTTCAACCATTCAATTTGAATGAAAGTTTTGTTTTATAATTCAAAAGCATTCTGTATATTAAAAATTGAAGTAAATTGTTTTCTTTCATTCAATTTGTAATAGAAGGAATTAAACAAATATGAATGATCATTCTATTGAATTCATTCCTATAAAGAATTCCAAGGAATTCAGCTTTAGAATTTAAATTCAAAGAATGATTTTAAAGAATGGTACATTCAAAGCCGAATTAAAAATATAAGGGAATTAATTCCAAATAGAATTCATTCTTTCCAAGCTTTGACATAGAATAACAATTCTGTCTTGGCACTAAATTGATACAAAAAGCTAGATAAAAATTTATTAATTATTATTTATTTTGACAATTATTAACGTTTGTATTTTAATATAAATATTTACACAAAATTCAGATTTTTATTTTGTTATTTTTTATTTTCCATACACACAATATTTTTTTTTACAATGTGGAATATTTTACAAAACCAAAATGCATGTTGTTTTGCTTTGTTGTAGGAACCATGCCAAATCCCCTCAACTAATACTTTGCTTCCACAGAAGCGTTTTGTGCAAAACTAGAATTACGACTGATGTGTAATTTTAAAGAAAATGAACTTTATTATTTAAATATCAAAATAAAATGATAAAATTTGTTCGAAAATTCGAATATCAAACACGAGTAAACTCAGTGGAGTGGTTTAAGCAAATCTAGTAATTTCATGCCAGTGGAAACGTAGCATAAAAGTGCTCTAACAATATAATAAAAATGGAACAATCAGATTATTTTTGTCGGTGTAACATTTATTTAATTCTGTTGTGATCTTCAAATTCGTAAATAAATACATGGTTGCATAAAATGTATTAAAAATGTTTTTAATAAAAACGTACGTTTTTAATGCTGTTATAAGCAACTGATAATTGCTTTAAATGCAAGTAGTGAATTTTGACATTTTCTTTTTAAATATTCGGGGCCACGCAGCTAGGCGTTTGCCATTTCTTATTTAAAAAAATAATAATTTTTCAGGTAAAAAACGAATAATTTTTACAATTGCCATTAATTTGTTATATTAAAGCTAAGTAAAGTTAAAATATAACTCGGAAAACAAAAGAAATTTGTGAATGTATACTAGCTCAAAGTTGAGGTTATAAACATATGTACGTTCGTACGTACTTTCACTCTTTAATAACTGCAATTTAGTTTTTTGTTTGAAATGTGAATTGAATGTGCTCCCCTTTGATGTAGAAATGTCTGCTTTGTTGTCACTTAAGATCCAAGAAGTTGTTTCATAAACAAGACGTGTATTTAGTAATAAGTCTTTGTATATTTGTATTTGCTTAGGATGGCTAATCGAAGGGACAACGAAGAGACAGACAAGCAGACACGTATTGCCATCGTGAGTGATGACAAGTGCAAGCCAAAACGTTGTCGCCAAGAATGCAAAAAATCTTGTCCAGTGGTGCGTATGGGTAAATTGTGTATTGAGGTCGGACCTACTTCGAAAATTGCTTCATTGTCTGAGGAACTATGCATTGGTTGCGGTATATGTGTCAAGGTAAGTAAAAATAAAAAATCATGATAACATATGTAAATGTTTTACATGGTTTAAAACACATTTTTTCTGTTTTAGAAATGTCCTTTTGAAGCCATTACCATTATCAATATTCCTAGCAATTTAGAAAAGCATACCACACATCGGTACGGCAAGAATTCATTTAAATTGCATCGTTTGCCCATACCGCGTCCTGGGGAAGTATTAGGTTTAGTAGGGCAGAACGGTATAGGAAAGTCAACAGCTCTAAAAATTCTAGCAGGCAAACAAAAACCCAACTTGGGCCGTTATATTGATCCCCCAGACTGGACTGAAATTTTGGCCTATTTCCGCGGATCTGAATTGCAGAACTACTTTACGAAAATCCTTGAAGATAATCTGAGAGCTTTGGTAAAGCCCCAATATGTCGATCAAATTCCCAAGGCTGTACGTGGTGCTGTATCCGAACTTTTGGACAAAAAGAATGAGCGTGAAAACCAAACCGAAATTTGCGAAATGTTAGATCTTACACATATTCGTGACCGTAATGTTGGTGAATTGTCTGGTGGAGAATTGCAGCGTTTTGCTATTGCTATGGTGTGCATTCAAAATGGTGACATTTTCATGTTTGATGAACCTTCTTCGTATTTGGATGTCAAACAACGTTTGAATGCTGCTTTAACGATACGAAGTTTGTTGCATCCAACAAAGTATGAATATATTTATTTGTCCTTAGGAATCTTATTGACATTACTAATTTTTTTGTTCATTTTAGATTCATCATTGTTGTCGAGCATGATTTATCTGTGTTGGATTATCTGTCCGATTTCATTTGTTGTTTGTATGGTGTTCCTGGTTGTTATGGTGTCGTTACTATGCCTTTCTCAGTACGCGAAGGTATAAACATTTTCTTGGATGGTTTTGTTCCTACCGAAAACATGCGTTTCCGTACTGAATCCTTAACCTTTAAGGTAAGTTAAATTGTAAAAAAAACATTGTTTATCTAGAAATAATGTGTTTTGAGTGTGTCAGTTTCATGGAAAGCACTTCCTTACGAACTACACAACTTCTCAGTTATGCTATCGTAAATTATTACAATTTGAAATTTGTTTGTGTTTTTTAGGTTTCCGAATCGGCAACAGAGGAAGAAGTCAAGCGTATGAATCACTATGTGTATCCTTCTATGACAAAAACTTTGGGTAAATTCTCGTTGACTGTTCAAGAAGGCCACTTCAGTGACTCTGAAATTTTGGTATTGCTTGGTGAAAACGGTACAGGAAAAACTACATTCATTCGTATGTTAGCCGGTAATTTGCAACCGGATAGTAACGTTGATTTGCCTGTATTGAATATTTCCTACAAACCCCAAAAAATTTCGCCCAAGTATCAAAATCATGTTCGTCATTTGTTGCACGAAAAGATACGTGATGCTTACGTTCATCCTCAATTCATTGCCGATGTCATGAAGCCAATGAAAATTGAAGAAATTATGGATCAAGAAGTACAAAACTTGTCTGGTGGTGAATTGCAACGTGTTGCTTTAGTTTTGTGTTTGGGTAAGCCTGCCGATGTGTATCTAATCGATGAACCCTCAGCTTATTTGGATTCAGAACAACGTTTAGTAGCTGCCAAGGTCATTAAGCGGTTAGTTTCACGTCTACCAAAGCTTTTATTTAATTGTAATAAGCGAATTTTAAATTCCTTTTAGTTATATTCTTCACGCAAAACGTACCGGTTTTGTAGTAGAGCACGATTTCATTATGGCTACTTACTTGGCAGATCGTGTCATTGTCTTGGAAGGTCAACCCTCAGTGAAAACAACAGCATTTTCTCCACAGTCCCTGTTGAATGGCATGAATCGTTTCTTGGAATTATTGGGTATTACCTTCCGCCGCGATCCCAATAACTTTAGACCACGCATCAACAAAAACAATTCCGTGAAGGTATGATATTTAAATTTTCTTACTACTAAAACTACCACTGACCATTTTTTCGTACTTTTTAGGATACTGAGCAAAAACGTTCCGGTCAATTCTTCTTTTTAGAAGATGAAGGCAGATAAACATTCTGAACTTTTCCAGAGCCATTGAATATGAAGACAGATTATTAAGACGCCCCTATACAATATTTCTTAACTAACTCAATAATCAACAACATCCTACAAATATTTCTACATCATTTTTTCTACTTTGTATTTTACTGGAGTTTTTTGTATTTTAGTTAACATAATTTTATATAATTGTTTTCTTTAATGCATACTTTTTTTCAATAGCAAGACAAAAAATAAAATACAATTTAGTGAAATAAAGCGTAACAAAAACCAATCAATAAATAAAGTTATGCAAGAAAAAAATGTACGCATAACGAAAAAACAAAAAAAAACTTTTCTTTCATATTTTGGAAAAAATTATTTGATTCATTTCCTCATATACCACACATCATTAAATGATTATGTTTTGTGATTTAAATATTACACTGGCAAAAAATATTAAAAATCCTGTACCTAATCTAAAAAAATGAAAAACTATTGCAGTTTAATTAAATTTTATTTAAAGAACACATTACGACAAAATAACAATAAAATTTTCTCTGTAATTTATTATTTCTTATTCGTAAATGTTTAATTTTAAATGCAAATGAATTGATTGATTTTCTTTATTTGAGAAAAATGGCAAAACTACAGAATGAAAGCAAGTGAGCGAAATATTGGCATTGGATCTAGATCACCTAGACAAAAGTCTATGCTCACTAGTTTTTCCTCCACAATTTTAGCCATATTTGAAAAACATTTAAAAAAAACATAAATGTAATTATTCGCGAGCAGTTGTGTTACATAATACAGATTCATTTAAAATATATACGTTTGTATGCATGAATGTTTGCACATTTATTAAATTATTTACAATTATAGAATATAATGTTTCAAATGAAACACACATTTTCATAAGGTTGATTACAATTGAATACAAGGACAGTATAAAAATAAATAAAAGGTTTTCTAAATATACATGAGAGTTTGAAAATCCACCACATTCCACCAAAAAGTGTATTTAATTGATTTATAAATAATCTTGTCTGGTATATTTTGATTTTTAAATTACTTTTTAAACTTACAGAAATGCAAAGAGAAAAATTTAATTTTTCTTTCTCCCTGTGAGACATTGCATATTCCCTATTATGAATCAGAATGTTGTGACTTAATTAGAAAGCTTTAATCGACAGACATGTTGAATTTGGAAATATAATTCAATTAATTGATTTTATTATAGTAATAACTTCATTTGCCAAATCGGTGGCTTGCTTCCGTAATTTTAGTGCCTGAAAGACGATAAAAATTGGTCAGATATACAAAATGTGTGTTACTTATATTTAGCTATACAACGTGTGTTTTGCTAACCTTAGTTCGTAATTCCTTTTCATTTGTTACAAGTTCTTGTATTTGAATGTTGGAGTTTTCGTTATTCTTTTGATCAACAATCCAACGTAGATATAATTCTAAATATAAAGAAAAAGATAATCCATAAAAGAAATAAATAAAAATTTATTTGATTTACCAGTCCACAGTTCCAGACTGATTGGTGCCACTGACGGCCATATAACACTGGGATTTGGTTCGTATAGAGGATTAAGAAAGTTTTTCAAAACTTCAGGTCGGTTTAGATACGACCATAAACTAGTGGTGCGAGTATGAACACGTAAATCGTGTCGCTCCCTTTCCGAATCGCAAAGAAATGTGCCGTATTGTGAGAAGTAGCTGTGTTCGAAAAGTAATATCAGCAGCTGCGTACTAAATTCGAAACTGCATGGAAATTGTCTATATAATTGATGAATGCAATCTAAAAAAAGCACAAATGTAGCACCCGAGCTTTTTTGACGATTTTGTGAAGGTGTGTAGCATGAATGACGATGACGCGAAGCGAATGGGTGTCCGGCTTGTATCCATTCTCGTTCGATTAAGGCTTGAATTCTGAAATATTGATAATGTTAATGTTGAAAATATACAAAGGATTAATTATGCTCACCCTCTTACGGTGCGACAATCGGGATTAAGTATTACTTGTACTAATGATGTCACAATTAATGTAGAATCCAAACCTTTAGCACCATGTACCAATACAGGACTACCCTCCTGATCCAGACACTGAGCAACTACACATGCGGCATTTAATGAATTCAAAACTAAGCTTAGCCAATTGCTACTTTCCAAGCGAGAAAGCCACTTATCCGGTGAACATGTTATATCATTACAAGCTAAATACATACATAAATAAAGTGACTTGAATTGAATTTAACTTCTAATTACAAATACCTTCAATAAGTTTTGAAAAACTATCTAAAATGGCAGCTGGTGAAGAAACATTTCCAATCGAGCGATTGACTTTTTTCCATTGTGAATAATGCTGATCTGTTTCTGTATTTGATTTTCCCTTACCCCAAGTATCAACTATAAAGCCTTTTTTACTACGACCTAGGACAACATTTAGTATAGCTTCATCTGCCCGACATCGTTTAATGCCCTGAATTGACAAAGGCTGAGCACTGCGCAAAAGAGCTGCCTATAAAAATATACACAAGAATTTACATATTCTGTATATTATATGATATACATACATATGTACATAAATATTATAAATAATTCAGCATCAATCCAAAAAATTAATAAATGGCAATAAATTTAGAAAATATTGAAATTAACTTTAGATTTGCGTCACCTTTTGTGATGATGTGCATAAGACTAGGTAGGCATAACCGATTTGTTTTAATTGAAGATAAAAATACAATTTTAATTAAAGTTTTGACAATTTTTGCAAAACAGTTTACTGCATTGGAGCAAATTATTGAAAAACAATAGGTATCTTCGCCAAATTTTTCAAAACCTCTATGTTTTATAGTTTCCCCCTAAAGAAAGTTTCCTCCTAAAAGCCGACCTAGAAATATTTGATGAAAAATACTGCTTACAGTAAATGATTTTTTAATACCCGATACATATAAAAAATATGTCAAGGTGATTACTTCAAAATGTGGAAAGATCTGTGTTGTATTCATTGTTGTATTTCGATAGCTTTTCTTTTCAACAAATTACGAAGTAACCCGATTTATTTACATTCAACCAAGATCGGTTTTGAAAATTTTATAAGTTTCCTTTGTATATTCAATGTCTGGTTTAATAAATCACATTCAAAGTTTGTTTACGTTTTACTTATAATCGAATTATTTATATGTTTAGTGTAAAATTTAACATTGGCATTCCATTTTGAACAACTTTCGAGAAAAGGGATTTGTACATCGCGAGAATGCTGGTAATTTTATTTCTTACTTGACTTCCGTACATTGCATATACTATTACCACTAAGAAAAAAAATTAACAACAATACTTACGCCATTTTCGTGACGGTAGCTAAGAACAGGAAACCGTCCACCGTCTCTAAATGCTGCAGATTGTACAATTTGTTCATCAGTTATTATTTTTGGTACTATAAGAACTGAACCATAGGTTGGGCATAATTTAAAATCTTTATTAATGTGTGTAATGCGCCATTCGCAACCCATTGTTGTCTCTGTGCTAATAGTGCCTGCTACGTCATGACCATTTGAGAAGTGAAATGTTGAGGAAAGAGGACTTGCATTGTTAAATGTCAAAGTATTGCTATTACCACTACTTGTACTAACACTACACACATTGTTGCAGGCACTAGCGGAAATGAGTTTTGAAAACTCTAGCTCTGGCCTACAACATACAAAAACAAAATAGTTAATTTTAAATTTCTCAACACTTAAAACGCAAAAAACTAACCTAAATATTGTGTAGCCATCCTCCAGGATTGTGTACATAGGCCGATAAAAAAATGGATACTCTAATTCGGGATTATTTAAAGTACTGAGAGCCTCCAAAGATGCCGCCACGTTGAAGTATTCTTTGGCACTTTTAATTTTTAAAGAAATTATACGTAAATCCTTGCACTTTAGAGTTATAAGGCCACCGACAACCGCATTCTGCAACATAAAGGGCTTCTTTTCCACACTGTCAATATTTTTATGCATCAACTGCAAACATCAATTATTCACATGTAATGCTTAATTTATTATATACACTAGAATCAAGATGAGCTATAAATACTTACCCATAATTCCTGGCTATTCTCCTGCCGAGCACTCAATAGCAAGTGATGGCCAGTGATGCATAAACGGCCTTCGACTGTTGAATTTTGATGGTCATGTAGAAAAACTCCATCCAATTTAGGTGTTTTAATCAGTTCGACAAATTCCATTTTATATGCTTTGCTTCTATATATGTAAATAAATTAAAAATGATGAAAGAGAGGATGAATCAAAACAAAAATATATAAAATACAGTTATCAGCAGTAAATAAAATATATGCATATTTTTATACATACATACAGATATATGTAAAGTGTACACACATACATACCTACATTGATTGTCAGCATAGAAAGTTCAAAAAATAGCGTTTAGAATGTCCCTCTATAAAGGGGCAAGCAACCAACTGTAAACAATTGAATTGAATTGCTGTGCCTGGTGATGGACGTAAAATGTTTTTTATACCTATCTCTATATATAACTCGTACATATACTCTTTATAATCTTCTTCCTCGTTCTTTCTTCTTTTCACCTTCTATTTCCTAACACTTATAATGGACTGACTGCAGTTAATTATGAGCCTGTATTTGATTTTTAACACTTTGGTGGCACTTTTCCATGTTGTCGCAGTTTGTAACCTTGTACAACAGCCACCGACTAGTGGGTGGGATTAAAATTAATAGATAAACTTTATTTATCCTTAAGAGTTTTTCACAATATGTTCTAATTAATTTTTTATTAATTTTTTTACTACAAACTAAGCTGAATGTACTAAAAAATATTTTTTACTTTAATTGCACTTGTTGATTGTTTAAATATGATGCAAAGTTTAAGAAGTAATATTATTGATAATATACTTCCGAAATGCAGCAATAATTAACACTTGTTATTTGCATTTAAATATCCTTATCTATATTAAACAAACCAAACAACAAAATATCAGTTTTTTTTAGCAACAATTGTATTTTTTATTTACTCTTTGCTTTGTCAACGAAAAGCTGTTTTTTGACGTTCACTTTTGATAACAGAGTTGGAGAAATATAATTTCATGCATAATATAACATGAATTCGCATTGCTTTTGTTCTTCTTTATGTTTAAATTATTCAAAGCTTTAAAAAATACAATTTCGATAAATTGATCTGGGTGTTCTTATTAATATAAGTAAAATAATAGATCTTATTCTTCTTTCGAAAAAACCGAATTCAATGACAAAAATATGTCAGAATTAGCATCATATGGGAGAAATACAATAGTACTTATAATGCCATCCCTGAACTAAAATACACTAGTAAAAGCTTCCCTATAAGAAATGAATGACCGAAACTAACACATACAAAATGATTTTACTAACACACATGCAACATTTTTTTTTATAGAATTGTCGAAAAAAAAAATTTAAAGGATGATTCCATCAACAATGACAGTCAAATGACCGGTAAAATCACCGTTACTGGACCCAATGTGTGGTATAGGGTTGAATTTGCATATGAAAGAATGAAACAACTACATTTTGATTAAAATGTATTAAAATATATATTTTGATCAACAATGACAGCCAAATGACCGATCAAATGACTGTCACTGTGTTACAGAGTTGTATTTTTCGTCGTTACAAATTAATTGTTTCTGCGAAAGCCAAAGATCAAGAAGCGATGAAATAAAAAAATTACAAAGTCTTTAAATTATTAAAAATAAAGAGAATTATTATAAACTAAATTTTAAAAAAGCTCAGGAAGTGGATCAGAAGATAAACAATTCGGAGTTTAATCAATCAATGGTAACATAAATATGTACTTATGATTTTTATATTTCGATATTTATGAATACTTATGTATTTCTTTACAGACAACATATTTCCACAAATTAATAGGAGCATCAGAGGACTTAAGATTCTGCAAGATATGTAAAATGGTGAAAAGACTGGTAATTTATGTATATGATTACTATATTAATAAAATTAACAATATATATATTAAAATATTAATAAATTGTGTTTTATTATAAATTGGTATAGCCGTCAGATTTGACGGATATATTCATCAAGTGTGATTAGTCAACAATGACCGATTAATGCATCATTTTTTTATTTGTTAACTGTGATGGATATATCCATCAAGCATGATTAGTCAATCATGACTAATATTTATATCATCCATGATTAGTAAACAACAAAAGAGTGAGCAGCTCAAATATATGTTTTAAAGTCGATAGAATTCATAAGTGCGAGGGTGATGCAACATCACATGTACACAAATGTTTCCATCACTTTTTACATATTGCCCTTAAGAAAGTGATGGGAGCTTTGTTCTACGCAATGATGGGTATATTCTCAGTAGTGACAGTCAATTGACCGGTCAAATGACTGTCACTGTTCTTATAGGGTTTTGAAAAGTACATAAAAGTGTTGTAAAATGTAATGTAAATTTTTCACTATTCTAATATAATTTATAAATCGTCTTTTTGTCGAAAATAGTCGACAATTTCTTGGCTATTTCGAATAACCGAATAATTCGAAACATAAAAACTCGAAGGGGTAAAAGGTCTACATAAAATTTAAACCCCTATTTTTTAGTTACTGACGGATAAGCAGATCGTCACCTGAAACGCAAAAGGTCGTAACAAACCAAAAATTTAAAATAGACTTTATTGAAAATTGTAAACTGATCAAAATATACATTTAATCACAAAAATAAGTATATACAGTTAATCACAAAAATAAGTATCAAAAAAAAAAAAAAAAAAAAAAAACAGTAACAAATTTATTTATTAAAAACAATTATGATAATTATTATTCACTTCTCTTCTGAATATTTTGTTTTTTTCAGTTTTCATTTAAGGTGAAGTTAAATAGGTGCAAAGTTTACGTCACAAAAGTAAGTATACAGATAATTTCTATATATGTATTTGGATTAATGAAATTATTAAAATTTATGGACATTTTACCAGTTTGAATATAATTACTAAATAATATAATATTTTTTAGACAATAACTTGGAAAAGTTTTTGTTCCGAATTTAAAAAACCAATTGTCAGTATTTCTGTTTACTTATTTTTATTTTTAGAACTCCACTGCGTAACAACAAATTGGTAATTTCCACAAGCCAGAAAGACCTAAAATGCGGAACAATTACATACAGTGGTGGAAAAAGTAATAGAAACGACCCTATTTTACCGTATGGTTCCTGATAGCTGATTCAGAGGTTCCAAATTCAAAATTTCCCAGCAAAAAAAAGGCAGTAGTGCAAAGTGAATGTAATTATCTAATACAACTCATTCTAACTGCCTTCCTAAATTCAACCTATTTCGCAGTTAAAAAATCCCTTTAAAACTTCAAAAATTAATTCAGATTGTTAATTTAATCAAATGAAATTTCTGTGTTATTAAAAATATTTTTGATTATCAATATTATTTTATATATTTTCCCATATTTATAATAGTATTTTCCTTAAAATTGTTTAAAATATCTTCAAAAAATACATACAAAACAAATAGCGTGAACCAATGAAACATTGTTTTCGAATCATCGAATTTGTATTGGGTCGATTATTCGAAATTCTCGCATAAACACATGATCTTCAATGACATGGTAATGTTAAAATCATGCATGTTTCACCTAAATCGGACCACTTCGTCATCACTTGCACCTCTGATTAAACAACATCTTTGTCATGTAACTTTTTGCTGGGTTCTTAAATAAAATAAACAGATAATGAAAGAAATTACTTTACATTGTTGAATTTTATATTAAATTAGTTTTTGAGATGATTTGCAGTCGAAGAAGTTTTAGATCCACTTATATATAATGGTAATCCACCAATTTTTGGCCAAATTTCGAGCAGTATTATAATTTTTTGCAATTTAACCCGCTCCAGGTTTAGAAGGTTATGTACCATAAAAAGATGCATATCCACTCGGATACCATAAAGTCCATTGTGATTTCCTTCAAAGAGTGAAAATTCAAAAACAGAGAAACAAAAGCCCTACAAGAAAAACTACAATGAAAAAAGAAGTTACTTAAAAGGATGGAAATACATAATTATCAGTCAATGACCTAAAGACTGAAGAGATAAAAGAGCAAATCTTTGCCCCCTCTAAAGCCCAGCCCAAGAAGTCACTAATTCCCTTGACAAAACCTAGTAAACTGTGAGGGTCAAGACCCGCAATATCTCCCATATCGTTATGGAATCTATTCCCTAGCCATTTCAGCCTGAGATTCTGTATCCTAGGACAGTAACAAATTTTTGCACAACCTGCAATAGTTCGGTATATTGCTGTCCCACTTACTGACAAATGCCCTTACTGAGCAGTGCCCCGTTGTCATCCCTACAAGAATCCTTAAACTGTGTCTATCCAGTCTTATAAGTATTTTAGTAGCCTCCATATCAAGTTTTGGTCATAGTGCCTTTGATACTTTGCATAACAATCTACAACCTAAGTATAATAATAACAAATGGGTGGTTTTACTATTCTTTCTCTGTCACTTATGACAAGGTTCGAACCTAATCTAGCCAGTTCGTTCGCAACCTCATTACAAAGCACATTACAGTACCCGGCACCGAACACAGTCTAATGGCAAACAATTTCATCAGAGGTTTTACACCGATGTCTAGAGTCGTAATCACATAATCTGTAATTCCGCAAGGGGAATTACCCTGACCAAGTAGACCTACTTCGTACAGAATTTTTGTATGGTCGTCACGCGAAGGTTTGACTAACGAAGACACATAGAGTCTTAGCAAATTCCTAGACAAAATGTTCTATGGGTGACAGGTATAGAATGATGTCCAAGGCCGCCTGTGGAGTGCTTCTAATGGCACCAGTAATGCCAATAGAGGCACACCTTTGAGTTTTATTGATAATTTTTCTATAACTGTCCTTTTTCACCGGACAATGCAACCATAAGTTAGAATAGTAGTAGGCATTGAGTCCCTTTTTCATTCTTTCTTGAGTATTTTCCTTCCATGACAGCTTGCTAGATAAACTTAGTTCGACGCCATCGAACTTTGGCACCCTGAAGTTGTCTTCTACCTTCTGGTAAATATTACCGTTTTCCCAGGATTTACGCCCACAACGAGAGTTCAAATAGTGCAGTCTCCATGATGTCACTGATCGTGAATATAAATTTTCCCTTGATCAGTAGCACCACATCATCCGCATAGGCAACTATTTTCCTACCTTTGGATTGAAATCGCTTTAGAATACCGCTAGTAGCCACAGAAAAGGATATAATACACCCCCTGTGGTTTACCCCTCCCCCCTGGTAACCCTTCTCCTAGTTCAATGATCCCATAAGTTCGAGTTAATAATTCTGCTGCTAGGAGTGCAGACTATCCACTTCACCAGAATGTCCTGGACTCCGAGCCCTATAAGCGAATCTCTAATCGCCTCAATCTGTATATTATTGAAGGTACCCTCAACATCTAAAAACGCGGCAAGAATATAGTGCCTATTTCTCAAGCTGTGCTCAACACAACTTACCACCTCCAGCAGTGCACTATCAACAGATTTACCATTGAGGTAGGCATGCTGAGCGCCACTGATGAGGTGAGTATCAGCATTGCTCCTAAGATGTAGATCTATCAGTCTCTCAAGTGTCTTCAAAAGAAATGAAGAAAGGCTGATAGGTCTAAAACTTTTGGGTATGAAAATTACCCTCCACCTCTTTGGTAAATACCTACTGCTAAGGCATCTCCTAAAAATTTTTTGTAAAAAAGATAAAGCGTCCTGAGGTAAGTTCCTTAGTAGAGCTGGAAATATGCCATCCGGCCCTGGTGACTTGAAAGGGTCGAATAAGTTAACCGCCCATACTAGCTTTTGCCTAGTGACTATTTCTTCTATGAAACTCTAGATGTTGCTTGGCGCCACAGTCTCTAGGTCCCATTGGTCGTCAATCACATCTACAGTTGCGAGACAACCCGGAAAATATGTTTCCATAAGTAGCGCTAGGGTCTCAGAGCTAGACTCAGTCCATGAGTTATCACTCCTTTGGATATACTCTATGACCCTTGGTCCTTGGATAATATCCGTCGGAATCTTGATAG